AAAAGGCGGCAGGCCACATCCCTCCTCCTCCTCCTCCTCACTCCTTCCTCCCGCCTCTCCCTCCGCCCGCCTCCTCCCTCCTCCCGTCCTCCCTCCTCCCTCCTCTTCCTCCTCCCTCCGTCCTCCTCCTATCCTCCTCCTCCTCCCTCCTCCTCCTCCTCCCTCCTCCCTCCTCCTCCTCCTCCTCCTCCTCATCCTGCCTCCTCCTCCCTCCTCCCTCCTCCCTCCTCCCCTCCTCCTCCTCCCCTCCTCCCTCATACCCTCCTCCCTCCTCCCCTCCTAACCCTCCTCCTCCTCCTCCTCCTCCTCCTCCTTCTCCACCACCTCCTTCGCCTCCTCCTCCTCCTCCTCCTCCGCCTCCTCCTCCTCCTCCGCCTCCTCCTCCTGCCCATCCTCCCCTCCTCCCTCCTCCCTCCTCCCCTCCTCCTCCCTCCTCCCCATCCCTCCCATCCCCCCCCCTCCATCCCCTCCCCCCTCCTCCCTCCTCCTCCCGTCCCCCTCCTCTCCGCCTCCCTCCTCCCACCCCTCTCCCCCCCTACTCCCTCCTCCCTCCTCCTCCTCCTCCCTCCTCCCTCCCCCTCCCCCTTCCTCCCTCCTCCTCCTCCTCCTCCTCCTCCTCCTCCTCCTCGCTCCTCCTCCTCCTCCTCCTCTCCTCTCTCCTCCTCCTCCCTCCTCCCTCCTCCCTCCCAAACAAAAAAATCCCTCCTCCCTCCTCCCTCCTCCCTCCTCCCTCCTCCTCCCTCCTCCTCCTCCTCCTCCTGCCTCCTCTCCTCCTCCTCCTCCTTCTCCACCTCCCCCCTCCTCCTCCTCCTCCTCCTCCTCCTCCTCCTCCTCCCTCAGCGGTTGCGGTGGCGCGGCGCGCGGGGCACGGGGTCGCAGGCTCGAATCTGGCCGGAGGGCAAGGGCCACGGTAGCGGCGACCCCGCCGCGGGCGTTCAACGTTGAACGCCGCCGGCGACCCAGAATCGGTCGGCGCCGAACGAGCCGACGTTTCGGAAACGGTTGATCGTTCAAGGTTGAACGATCCCCGCGGTGTCAGGAACCATCGCCGGAGTCGACACGACACGAACCTGTCGTACACTCGGGGAGGGGCAGTCGGGGCCGTTGCCTCGTCATCTGAGCGCGGCGTCGTGTGAGTCGCGAGGGCGGCGCTGTGGTGCATCGTTCTGTGCGCGTGCTCTTTTTGTACTGCGCTGTTTTTTACAGAGGCGAGGTCCTCCGCTCGCGCTGCGTGCAGTCTGGGCAGCAGGCTCAGTCAGACAGGGGCGTGCTGTTGGCGGTGCAGCTGAGCGTCGTTCCGAAGGCCTCCCGCGCGGTTGTCTGCGAGGTTTCCAAGCTGGCTTTCAATCCCAGCTTGCTGCTGCTCGTGCTGTCAGCTGCTTCCAGCAGGACTCCTCCAGCTCCCCCTTCGTCCTCGTCCTCCTCCTCTTCCTCTGTTGCATCCTCCCCCTCCTTCTCCTCCCTCTTATCCTGCCTCTCCTCGCCCCTCGCTGGTCGTCCCCTGGATCCTCCGACTGCTCCAGCGGCCCTGCGGGATAGCGGGGGATGCGCCAGCCTTGGCCAAGCCCATCCCCATCAAGGCACCTCACGGCCGCCTTGATCGGTTCGGTGCTCCCGAGGATCACAGCATCTGGGTGCAGTGATCGTCGTCATCGTCGTCGCCGTCGTCCTCCTCTTTCGATTCTTTCTCGGGCTGGCGTGGGCCATCATATCTCGGTCGCCAAGAGGCCGGCCAGGCGGCCAGGGGCGCCGACGCCGATCGGTGTATGAGTAATGGCGCCTTTCTTGTCCACCGCGGGGGAGCAGGGAGGAGCAGGAACAGCAGTGGCAGTAGCACGAGGAGGGCGTATCAGCGGAGATCTCGACCCCATCCCCAGATCATATTCCTCACCGCGGGTTTTTTGGTAGTCCTGGGTCCCGAAAACCTGACAGTCCCGTGGGCACTGAGATTGCGAGAACTTGCCGCCTGTCGTGTTTGGTTCGTGACGCTCGTGGGTCCGATGAGGGAGGAGGTGGTGGTAGAAGAAGGAATCAGGAGGAGGAAGCAAGGATGCGGAACAGGTCGAGGGGGAGTGGAGTTGGAGCATGTGGAGGAGGAGGACGAGGAGGAGCAGGAGGAGGGAGATCACAGGCGGTGAAGGGGAGTCTGTAAGTAGAAGCGATGAAGGAAGACGATATATGCCAGTCGTTGAACGTAGGCATATTTGGATTCCCAGATTCCAATCACATCTACTTCAATCATCGGCATTTGTGTGTTGTGTGTTGTCATTCGTTGGGAGGGCCCGAACCCAATATACTTTATCCACCTTCCTACTTCATGTTTCTACCTGCTTCTTCCGTCTGGCGGGTAATGAGCATGAGTAGGCAGCGGAGGAATACAAGCAGGAACGTGATGGTGGTTCCGATGGTGTTGATGGATGGTGATGGTAATGGTGATGACGGGATTGACAGTGACGATAGTGGTCGTGGTGGTGACGATGACGTTGTTGATGGTGATGATGATTACGTATGATGCCGATTCGTCTGGTGGTAATGCTGATGATGATGAAGATGATGATGCTCTCGATGATGGCGATTGTGATTGCACTGTTGCTGATGATACAGATGATGACGATACAGATGATGAACATGATGATCATGTTGCCGATTCTGATGATGACGGGTATTGTTGTGTTGTTGCCGATAACGATCATTATGATGTTATTGATGCGGATCTTGCGGTTGCGGCTGCTGATTGTGATGTTGATGCAGACCACGATGAGCACGACGAAGTCGGCAATGACGACCGAGTTCGATGGTGATGTTGTTGATGATGATGTTGATGCTGATGATAATGAGGATGCCGCTGATGATTTGCTTATAATGGTGATGAGGATGAGGACGAGGACAATGATGCTGCTGATGATGCTGATGATAATGCTGCCAGAATATTGATCTGAAAATGATGACGATGCTGATTATGCTGATGACGATGATGCTGTTGATGGTGATGGTGATGGTGGTGGTCGTGATGCTGATGCTGATGCTGCCGCTGATAATTATGCTGCTGCTGATGATGATGATGATGATGATGATGATGATGATGATGATGATGGTGCTGATGAGGATGATGCTGGCAACGATGCCGACGACGACGATGATGATTGTGGTGATGACGATGACGACGATGATGATGAGGAGAACAAATATGATGATGGCCAGGACGAGTAGTAGGAGGAGGAGGAGGAGCAGGATGAGGAAGGCGGAGGAGGATGATGAAGAGGAAGAGGAAGAGGAGGACAAGGAAGAGGAGGAGGAGGAGGAGGAGGAGGACACGGTGGATAAGGGGGAGGAGAAGGCAGGGCTCGAGGAGATGGAAGAGGGTGATGGGGGATGAGCGGTATCGACGGAGCTTTGCTGCTGCAGCGAGCGGCTCATAACATCAGATGTGCTTTGCGTCTGGCCCAAGGTTCACGCGGCATCGGGCAGGGGAGGGATTTCACAGGTCTGCGGCATACTGACTGCGCACGGCAGCCATGCCGGCCAACTCGGAGAAGGAGCATCTGTCCATCGTGATCTGCGGCCACGTCGACAGTGGCAAGAGCACCACCACTGGCCGCCTGATCTTCGAGCTGGGCGGACTGCCCGAGCGTGAGCTCGAGAAGCTGAAGGCGGAGGCCGAGCGCCTGGGCAAGGGCTCCTTCGCATTTGCGTTCTACATGGACCGTCAGAAGGAAGAGCGCGAGCGCGGCGTGACCATCGCTTGCACCACCAAGGAGTTCTACACCGAGAAGTGGCACTACACAGTCATCGATGCCCCAGGCCATCGCGATTTCATCAAGAACATGATCACTGGGGCTTCCCAGGCGGACGTTGCGCTCATCATGGTTCCGGCCGACGGTAACTTCACGACTGCCATCGCCAAGGGCAACCACAAGGCTGGCGAGATCCAGGGGCAGACTCGCCAGCATTCCCGCCTGATCAATCTGCTGGGCGTGAAGCAGATCTGCATTGGCGTCAACAAGATGGACTGTGACACCGCTGGATACAAGCAGTCCCGCTATCCAGCTGCCTGCGGCAAACCCCGTAATGCAGCAGGAAGGAGGTTGAGTTTAAGACCCGCTCCAGTTCAGTACCCTGCTTGAAGTGGGGGCGGGTACTGAATATCCCCTTCTTGTCCGCAGTCAAGATATCCTATTCCTTCCTCTTCCCTCATGCTTTTCCTCCCTCTCTCCCTTTCCCCTCCTCCCTCCTCGAGGCATCTTGTATTGGAGAACGAGCCGATTACATAAACATAACAACCCAGAGGTCCGCGACGGTTCTTGGATCGGTGCTGGACTCCCCTCCCTTGGTGCGCGGAGCGCGCCATGGCGGCGCTGGAGGCATCTCCAGGGGAGTCCAGCGCCGATCTGAGAAATCCGCGCGGGCCTTCGAGTTTTTACGCGTGTGTCGTCTTTTCTTTTGCAACTGTCTACTTCTACGGAGCTTCTTCAAAGCATTCCTGGGAGCTTCCCGCGAGGGCCTCGTTGAGCGTCTCGGAGCCTTCTTGGACGCGAGGGTTCTGCAGAGCTCTCACAGGAAAGCTCGACTGACTGAGCCATCTTGCCGTCGGCCAGGCGGGTTTCGGGGCCGTCTTTTGGATCCCTCCGCTCTGTGGATCATCAGGCAATCTTGGCTTGGAGCCGTCTGGAGGTCTGAGCTGGCCCATCACTGGTTCCAGCCATCAGGACTGGCGGGCAGGTTTGAGGTCTTGGGTTCGTGAAGGCCTTTTGTCTTTTTGGGGCCTTTGGGGGCCGTTTCCAGGCCTGGGACTGAAAAGCCGATCCGGGGTGGCAAACTGCGCCGGATGGACCCTTCTGTGGGGGTGGGGATTGATTTTGAGCGGATTTGGCTTCGCCCCCCTCTTGGTCGTTTTTCTGGGGTCCAAACCAGTTCAGGTCACCCGGCCGCCTCCAAACCTCGGCGCTGTCCTGGGGCGCTTTTGGGTGCTTGTTTTGCCGTTTGTAGGTTCTTCTTCGCAC